GCTGTAACCATAAGCTGTGAAAGTCTTAAAAACTTGAAAAATTGAGAATTTTTTCAAGGAATCTTTCAATGCTCTTTACTGTGTGAAACTAATTAGCACTTAGGTCAAAGCTTTTTTCCTGAAATGAAAAGATAAAGTTTACTGAGAGAATGAGGTAGGAGGAGGAGCTGGACAAGTACATACTAATAGTATTAGGGGCAGAAGAGATACGGGAAAATTAGTAGTATTAAAAGAGCAAAGTGTTTAAAACATTAACTGACATAGGTGGACTTCATATTCTGCAATCTCAGTGAAACTTAGTGGCTTATGATAATAGCAGGTCAACTAGATTATGTAGGTCTCCTTTTAGGCTACGGATTCCTGTGAAAGTCTAGTTTCATGCACATCAAGAAAGGGTAAACGAAACTCTACCTGATTCCATTAGAGTTGATATTTTTAGGCCACATGTGAGATGATAAGAACACAGCTTCTTGGAATTATGTTCTCAGAGAGAACTTTGCTTACACATTAATTCAGCCAAAGGCCTCAAGAAACTAATGAAAATTGTTAATAAAGGATGAACAGCTTTATTACAGGTTTTTTATAAGGAAATAGATTTGCCAAGGGTAGCAGCTGAGTCTGGAGGCCACAAGGTATGATAAAGCATAAGCAGATGGTTCCGAGTAAACAATTTAAAGTAACTCTTGTAACATCTTTGAGAACTCAGTACATACCCTGATACTAAGAGGTTATCTGGAACTCATTGATCTAATAGTGATCAAGCGTGTATTGCTGGAGGGAAGCTAGAGAGATGAAAAAAGTAGTCAGATTTACTGAGAGATGAATAACATACTGCTCCATGTTTTCCAAAATGAGATTTGAGTAGTTAAAAGGTGCTAGAAGAGTCTGAGTGCAATGAAATCTGCACACAACAATGAATGACACATTCTGGACTGAAGTATGTTTGGTTATCAAGTCTATAATACTCATAGTTCCTCAAGAGAATTGTCACTACCAGAACACTGAAACTGCAGACCAGAGTCCTTCTATGTGAAAAACAGAAAAATTCTTTGATTGCAGAGTAACAGAATGGTTGAGGTGGGAAAGGACCTCAGGTGCAAATCACTGATCAAGCAGGCCCACCTAGACCCAGCTGCCCAGAACTGTGTCTAGTGAGCTTTTGGAGAGGAGGAAGATTTCACAACCTCTTTGGGCAACCTGTATCAATGCTCAATCACCCTCACAATGAAAAGGTTTATCCTGTCTTTCAGAAAGAATCTCCCGTGTTTCAGCTTGTGCCCATTGTCTTTGGCCTTGTCACTGGGCATCACTGAGACGAGCCTGGCTACATCTTCTTTACAACCTCCCTTCAAGTATTACTCTACATTGGTAAGATCCCCCTGAGCCTTCTCTTCTCCAGACTGAATGGTCCCAGCTGTCTCAGCCTTTCCTCATAAGAGAGATGGTCCAGACCCTTCATCATCTTTGAGGACTCTCTCCAGTATATCCCTATGTCTCTTGTACTGAGGAGCCCAGAACTAGACAAGGCACTCCAGATGTGGCCTCATCAGTGCTGAGGATAGAGGACAGATCCACTCACTTTACCTGCTGGCAACATTCCTCCCAGTGCAGCCTAGGATACCTTGCAAACCCTCTTTGATGCATTGCTGGTTCATGGTCAACCTGGTGTCCACAAAGACCCTCAGGTCCTTTTCTGCTAAGCTGCCTTCCAGCTGGGTGGCCCCCAGCAAGTCCTGGTGCCTGGTGCAGGACTTTCCAGGTGCAGGACTTTGGGCTTGTTCTTGTTGAACTTCATGAGGTTCCTGATGTGGTACATTATTTCATTTCACCCAACAGTATGTTCATCTAACAAGATTAGTCATTGCAGTTGGACATGTATGAAGTGCCATACTAAATTATCACCTTTTTGCATTTCCAATTGCAGTGTTGAGGACCTTTGACTTTTAACTAGGTACATATACTTTTTCTTCTCATTTTATTGTTTAAAAGATAAAACAATAATGCAAACTGCCTAATTTGGAAGAGAGGAGTAGGCTGTACAGAAAACAGTCCTGTTGCTTTAATTTTTTTCTTTTCATTATTTCTGGAAATTCAGATTAAAAAGTTCAAAGACACAAACTAAATTTAGCTACCCATTGATTTCAAACAGGATTTAGGCATTGAAGAACTGCAATTTTTTTTCTTTAAAAAACAATCTGTTCCTCAGTTCTATTATCCTGAATAGACATAAGAAGAGATAACACTGACAGTAACAATACTATCTTAAATGGAAAATTTACCTCTTCCTCTTTAGGCTAAATTCTGTCCACAGAAGATTGGCATGACCTCAAGTGAACCCAGTAAGTTTTACAAGTCTGAATTAGGGGACACAATTTGTTTCTGGATTCAGAGGACTATTTTGTTATATGTAAGGTAATAAAAGGTTTGGAAGGCAGAAAAGTTAGAGAACTTATACACTTACATTTCACTTTACTTGAATCTAGAGTTCGTAGTGTCAAAGAACAGAATTCAGTCATTCATTCCTCTGCAGTTAGTAGTAGACTATGTGAGCCAGCAGTTAATGCTTGGGATACTTGTTTACTCAGACTCTAAATTACTAAATAATCTGTCCTTCTTTCACCTATTCATTTCTAGCTAATTAATTATTATTATAAATTTATTAGAATAAAAAAACATACTCCTATCTCAAAAGCTGACTTCTACCAATTTAGACAAAGACTGAAAGATATATATCCCACATCAAAGTTATAAAATATCTATTTAAAACATTAGTTTCATTTAATAAAGGGCACTTTTGTTCTCAGAACTTGCTATCAGATTGTGCTGATATTTGTTAATCACATTTTTCGTAGTTTAAATATTGCACAAACTCTAGATTTTTCAAAATATGTCTCAATAATCACTGTGGCTAGAAACGCTTACAGACCATGTGCGACAGTACTGCAAGAGTGCCCAGATGGGAATATATTATTTATATAGGGAGGTTGAATGGGTAATGACTAAACTATCTATCAAAAGTTCACATGCCGACTATTTTTCAACAAGGCACAGACATGCAAGGTTACCTATCTCATCTTTCCATTAACATTTTTGTGCAAAACAGTTTATAAGTTAAAAGCAGAGATTTTCCAAGATACTTTCGAGATGCGGAAGTCATGCTTTGCATATTTAGTAGATTAAAAATTATTTCAACAATTCAAAGGCTAAAGAGTGGGTGTGGCATATGGCCCAATGATGTTAATAATCCATATTTCACACTTTCTAGTAACCACACCTACTAGCAATTACCTAGTTGACAGATGTATGTGAGGTTGCCATTTTAGCTAAGAACTATAGCTAAAGAGCCTTTTCTAAAAGCGCAGAATTTAACTCTTACCCATATTTCCCCTGACATTCATGCCTCAGTCCTGAATGTAGGGCTATACTATTCAAACTCGTAAGTAATTTGATACCCCTACACAGCTTGCTATAAGAACCCTCCATAGATTCAGATAAGGAAGTGCCATCAAACCACGTTCTTCAGGCACTGAACAGTATCACATCCCATTCAAACAGGACAAAAGATGGTAAACAAAACTGTGACCTTCTGCAGAGTCAATACACTTGTCCTAGTTTGCAAGGTAGTAAATGATAGCATGACTGCATAAATGCTTAAAGGTGCCGAAGCAGTCATTGAGAAAATGCATTTTTATGTACACAAAACCAAAACATAAATTCATGCTTTTATAATCAGAGAAGTCTGTCATCCTCTAAGGAGAAGTATTTTAAGTTCTCGTGTCCTCATGCTAAGAGTGAGTCCAGGGCTGGGAAAAGGACTTGAGCTCTTCCAAACAGACTGAGATCTCACTAGAGGTTACAACCGAAATTTTAACTGATATAGAGTCTTTTGAAATTCTCAGCCTTGAACTGAGAATTCAGTCTCTAACAATAAGACAATAAATAATAAAAAAAAGTATGCAATGTACTGCTCACAGTTAAGTATTTTACTGATATTTCTTCTTCTCTCCTACACTCTTCCTGTGACCACTGAAGAGTCTTCTTCCCTCTCTCTTCTACTGACTCATTCTCTTTTTCCCACACAACTCTTTAAATACTGTGATTTTTTGCTTTTTCTGGTTCTTCTTTATCTCCCTCATTTATTTTTTTTCCCCTCAGTGATTTTTCCCAAGCCTGCTGAGCTTTCCTTACTTTTCCCACCATCTGGTTAGACAGCTGTTACTGATATCAGTGAGTGAGTGAGTTGTGAAAACAGTTGTTCAGAAGCTGATTTTACCTGCAGTTCCAATTCTTGATGGGACTGGAAGTTCTTAAGATCATGACAGGCAAAATGATGTATGAAACAAACCTCGATGCTTTAAATACAATTAATGTGGCACAAACGCGTTGTAGAGACAACATGGACAGGTCCAGTTTACACAGAAATCATATAAGGAAACAAATTGCCAAGTGCAATGGAATGAACTATTAACTACTTGATAAATCAAGGGCTCATTATGCTCTCCATGTCAGCTGGAGCATATTGCTAGAGAGATAGGACAAGGAGGAATAACAGGAGAAACTTTTATGCAAAACTGAAAAATGGGTGTGAAATAAAGCAGCTGTTTCAGTGGCACTACAGAACAAGATTGCAAAATATCCACGTGAAATGTGTAACCTGACTCTGCTCCTCATTTGTTCTGCTTTCTGATTCCTCCAGTACAATTCGTGCCCCAATAGGGATCAAGTCCTCACAGCCGTGTTCTCCACCAAGTATAGCAGATGAATACTCAAACACAACTGCCTAAATCCTAACATAATTACATAGAGTGCTGATAATCACGAGGTGAGGACAGCACTTCCGATCAGAAAGTTATAATCATTAAAACTTGGATCCAAGATGCATTTAAGTATGTTTAGCTTTTGATGTAAAAACCATTCTGGAGATTTCAGATGGCGTCTGTTGTATAAATACTTTTTGTGAGACACAGCCAAACAGAGAAAAATTTTATAAAACATCTCACCAGATTCTTCAAATTCACTGTTGTATGCATTCCAAGTCTCACTTATGCGGAGCAGATTTTCTTCCATGGCTTGAATGTCCATGTAGGGACAGTTACACTCAGGGAATTTGGGACCACACTGACACCAGCAGTCATTGTCCTTGCAGATGAACTCTCCCTCTGAATTGCAGGCAATATAGCTCAGAGCCGCCTGGACAAAATGTTCTTGCAGATACTCAGGCAGGATGACCTGAAGACCTGAATGAAATACAGTATTACGTTATTAAATGCAAAGGAATTCTTGAGCCAAGCAGCTTCCTCAGCCTATGCAACAAAGAAAAAATTACAGAAAGGGAAACTATATGGCTTTTTAGGACAATTTACACATCTGCCTAGCATTTTCACTATGTTAAATATTTTGTTTCTTAAAATTTAATTTCAGTTATATTCTTCACATTTCCCTCTCAGTATGGAACATCCATTCCCCTAACCAGTAACCTGTGTTCCTCAGGGCGTTTACTGCTGTAATTCATTTCTAGGGGGATTGTCAAAAACAGAAGGAAAGGATTACATCAACTTCTTGTAAAGAATTGCTGAATGAGCAGACTCATCAGTAAGAGCTTTGCAGTGTGGAAGCATGCAGCTGAGTTATAATCTTGCTACTAGCAGCTAATGCAAATTTCGCAAGTGCTGATGAAGGGAACTCAGCCCTGAAAGACACAGTAAAGAGACAGCATCATCAGAAAAAGAGGTTTGATCATAAACAGTTCCATTCTCTGTTGGACTTTTTTTCCGTGTTGCCTTTGACACAAGAAGATATAGCTCATCTAAGTAACTCATAGCTCATCTAAGTAACTCATAGCTCATCTAAGTAACTCGAGTTATCTCTTCATGGTTCTGTGGAGACAAACTGAGAAGAATGGGAAAAATTGAGTTGGAGGAAATTTTAGAAAATTAAAATTTGGCTGATATTTCAGTTCTTATAACATTGATATTTAATTGCTGGCAGCAACAACTTCATACTATTTGTCCAAGTGATTTATGAACGAATATGGAAACATTTTAAAACTGGAAATAATTGCATAGCTACCTGTAACTGCAAATTAAGAACTGCATTCTTCTCTAGTTGTATATACACAGAGGTATACACAAATACAGAAATTATAGAGAATTTAGTCTGTTTTCATAATAATAAGAATAACAAGGTGCTCATGCTACATTTGTGTAACTTAAAAGAGCAATAATTAATGGCCTGATACCCTAGAGGGTGACTTTTCAAAAATGTTTATATATCTAATAAGTAGATTGGGAAATGCATCTACTGGAATTAACAAAAAAATAAATCAGAAAGTATGCCTTTTTTCCCCTTTCCTTTTCCTTTTCCTTTTCCTTTTCCTTTTCCTTTTCCTTTTCCTTTTCCTTTTCCTTTTCCTTTTCCTTTTCCTTTTCCTTTTCCTTTTCCTTTCCTTTTCCTGTTCCTCTTCCTCTTCCTTTTCCTCTTTTCCTTTTCCTTTTCCTTTTCCTCTTTTCCTCTTTTCCTTTTCCTCTTTTCCTCTTCCTTTTCCCCTTTTCCTTTTCCTTTTCCTTTTTCTTTTCCTTTTCCTCTTTTCCTTTTCCTTTTCCTTTTTCTTTTCCTTTTCCTCTTTTCCTTTTCCTTTTTTCCTTTTTTCCTTTTCCTTTTTTCCTTTTCCTTTTCCTTTTTTCCTTTTCCTTTTCCTTTTTTCCTTTTCCTCTCCTTCTCTTTTTTATCTTTTTTTGTTTTCTTAAATAATATAAAATTACTATTGTTTTTCTAATGAGTGACAAGCCCAGTCTTCAAATTTTTTTAAAAGTCCCAAGAGGAGCCTTTGGACTCTTCATTATTTAGAGTCTTTGAAAATCTATTTCCTGCTCCTAAGTGTCTCCATTCATTTCAGTGGGACAGCTGCATGAGATATAAGGTACTACTCAGTATGTGCAAAGCAGGCTGAGAATAGTAAATGTCACTCCCTGCTTGGTGGAATCCATGGGAATTCAGGCTGTTTAAAAGGTGTGCAAGTGGCTGCTAAGTAGGGCTGTAAAATGTTAGCAGCATTATTCAAATTATTTTCTGATGTGTACAAAAAGTGTTACCATTTCAAAGGCAACATGAGTTACTGACATTTCCTTCACTTTGTCTGGAATGTACTTATTGCAAGCACACAAAAAAAATCAGAAAAATGACCTTTTATGAGGTGGAAGAAAGAAAAACAAATAGTGTGATAAATGTCATCCTGTTCCAAAACAAATTAATGAAATTGCACCCACATACCTTGCAACTGAATCTTATTTTCAGGACTCTGAACCAGAACAGAGCTGACAGAATCTAGGTTGTCATAGTTACTGCAGCCAAGAGGACCAGTCCGCGTTTCTGTTACCTGATGGTAAGGGAACGGAAAAATATTTGCTATATTATTCAAAACAGCCTGAGGAGTTCAGAAGTTCATTTCATAAAGATTCCCTTTAATTCAGCTGGCAGTACATTTCAGACTTAATTAAGGTGAAATAGCTCAGTTTAAAAGTATGACTGCAAATGTTTTACTGGTAGGACAAACTTCAGTGAGTGCTATTTCTGTAGCAGAGATTCCTTACAAATACCGTGCTGATCAACAGTCTAAAGATTATTTCTTTCTTCATAGCTATGGAATTTCGAATGAGTTTAATAAATGTGGTTCATGAAAACAAGGAC